TTCAGATCAAGAGGAGGCCCAATGACAGCTCCTTAAGCCCAAATCAATTTTCACTTTTTTCAAACTTTTCCCACTTGCCAAGTACACGAATTTGTCCTTTCCAAGCTATCAAGAAGGCATGGTTGACTTGCATAATGTCAATGCTGATCCAAGGGCTGAGGATTGCCCCTTGGTTTGGCCTTATGGTGTGTTTTTGATATGTTACTTATTCTTGAAGTAAGTGTGAAAATGGCCATTAATTTGAGTTCAAACTCCACATCCAAGATTGGCATTGTATTTGAAATGTCATTGGTACTCAAAAATGCACAAAGTTGATCCAAAATGTTTCCAAATGAAATAATTATGAATTTCCCTTTTTAAAGCTTTTTTCATGGAAATTGCATTGGAGATTCTTCAACCCAAGCCCAATCTTTGATACCTTGATGTTTGACAATGCAAATGACCCCATTTGGAGCAAGTTTGATGTTGGAAAGGTTTTCATTTGAAGTGTGCAAAGTGGTGAAATGGACCTATAATAAAAATGACCTGTAATCTTACTTTCCCAAAATACCCCTGCCTTGCAAGCCTCATAACTTGAGTTCTACAAATCAGATGAGAGACTTCTAGTAATTTTGGGAAAGCTAAGACCATGCCATACAACTTTCATGTTGGCCAAAAGTTGAGGAGAAACATCCTTCTAAGTCAAAAATGGCTTGGAAGTTGGTTGACTTTTGTTGACCAAAATCACATTCATCTGAGGACCTGTAACTTGTCTGCATCATAATTTGAGTTCTATAAATCCAATCAAGGACTTCTAGTACTCAAACGAAAGCTAAGAAAATGTTCTACAACTTTCATGTTGGCCAAAAGTTGAGATGAGACTTGTATCTTGAGATAGGTGGTCTTGAAGTTAGGCACTGAACAGGGGATTTTACCCTGAGAACCCTAATTCAGTCACTCCTCATACTCTTGCTTCTTGATAAATTGATCTTGAAAGGATATCCCATGTACCTTAACACAACATTCCTTTACCATAAAGACTTGGAATTGAGTCTTAATCTCTTTCAATTTCACAGTTTACTCAGGGTTGACCAAATGAAAACCCTAATTGCACCATCTTCAACTATAGCTCTTCACACTTGTCATAAACACTTGAATGAACTCCACAATGACTCTTAAGGCCTCCAATGAGCTTAAATGACAATCTCCCCTCATGACCATGAGCTTGGGATCCTCAGGTGACCTTCAAATGGCCTCCTAGACAGGAGGTGGACCACATACACTTATCTGCTTATCCAAAGGGCTTGGCCTTGTCTCTGATGATGATAACCTTCTTGTTGACTTGAATACAACCTCTTGATTAGGTTTAGAACCTTTAGCACATCTCTCTTGTTGCTCACACATATCTTGATCCCCTGTAAAAATGAAAAATGATATGCAATGCTATGATAGTACAAATGAAACATAAACAAGTAAAGGAAAAGTTGGGCAAATTTTGGGGTACAACACCAGGATGCGTCTGACATCGAAGTTCGCCATTCGTGCCCGTATCAGCAGGGGAATGTTAGAGTTGGGAGAGCCCCCGGGAAGTTCCTCGAGGTAAAAGGTGATCGGATTGGATCATCCGCGAAATTTATCAAGAGTGTTCATCTTACCGGAGTTGTTGGTGATGAGTTCTTCGAACTTTCTTTTTACCGATCCTACGGACAGGTTCCTTAGGGATCCGCCGGAGAAGACCATGGCTCTTGGGAAATGTTCCCATCGACTGGTGGGGCGCACTGGCTCGTCGGAAAGATCAGGGCCGTCGGGGAGGCCGAGTTCTCTATGAGCGAACCAATCCTCAGGGCGGCTGACGCAGAGGGCGACCTGGAGGCCGTTGTCACCGTCTAAAGAGGGAGGTCTTCGACTTTCTTGGCCTCGGGGGCGTCTTGCCTCGGGGTTTCTCCTCCCCGGGTGTATCTCTTCAGGTGACCGTCTTTAATCAGGATTTTGATCGCGTCCTTGAGGTGGATGCAGTCTTCTGTAACGTGTCTGTGACTCTTGTGGAAACTGCAGTACTTCGATTTGTCTACGTTAGGCTTGGGGGGTGTCGGTCTGGGGAAGCGGACACCTCCCTGGACAAACTCCGTCTTGGCACATTCGGCTAGTATGCGCTCGATGCCCGCGGGGGGTCTCCCTATCTCGTGTGTCTCGGGCGGAGTTGGCTGCTTGAGTTTCCTCGAACCAGATATAATGTGTGGCTCTGTCGAGGAAGTCCTGTAGAGAGGCTGGTCGGTGTGTGGCCACGGCCTCGTAGAACTTGGAGTCGCGGCGCAGACCTTGCTCCATTAAGTAACGCTTCATCTCGTCTGACGTCGTTACCTGTACTGCCTCCCGCGTAAATCTTTCGATGTACTTCCCGAGGGGTTCATCGGGAGCTTGGATTATAGCGCCGAGCGCGGCTTCCGTCTTCGGATGGCGTCGGGATGCTGTGAAGTGTCTTGAAAACAGGTCTTTCAAAACCCTCCATGACGTAACCGATTTTGGCTCCAAGCTTTTGTACCACGTCATGGCACCTTTCCTCAGCGTCGTCGGGAATAGTCTGCATTTGATAGCTCCTCGGACATTTCGGTAGTCGAGCATGGCCTCAATGTCTTCCAGGTGATCGTCTGGGTCGGAGGTGCCGTCGTACGTCGAGAGCGTCGGGGGCTTCTCCATCCCGTGGGGAATGGGGGAAGCCATGATTTCCCGGGATAAATGAGTCTTGTAGTCGTCTTCTTCGCTGAGAGTTGGCGACCGAGGTGGTGATGGGTCGTTTGGTGGAGGCACCTGGTTTCGGGCCCTCGACCTCCTGACCGGGGTTTCGTCGCGCGGAGGCCTGGTCGGGGGATCTGCTCTGATTGTCGTCTCTCACGAACTTGTCTCGTTGGGGATCTAGTCCGTTCCCGCACTACTTCGGGTTGGGGCTTCTCCAGCCGGGGTCGTCGGTCCCTAGGACGAGATGAAGGACTCCTCGAGTTCTCGTTCTACGGAGGGGACCTTAGCGGGATTTCGTGCTCTAGTGGGCCAATTTGTGCGTTCTGTTGAAATAACAGCTGGTTCATCTGGTTGATGGCCGCGAAGAGGGCGGCCACAATCGGGTCCGCTCCGGCCGGGACAGGAATAGGCTGGAACGCTGCTGCGCTCCAGGGTCGGTGGACAGCCTGGTGTGCAGCTTCCGCGGACGAAGGAGAGGCAGTCCGGCCGTCTCTCTCGTCGGTCTCTGAAGGACGGGACGTCTCCGTTTGCTTGTTGCCGTTCGCGGTAGGGGTGAGGATGAAGTCGTGAACGGCATCGTCGTGGTGTGGGCAAGCCATGATCGTGGAGTGTTGGTGAAACTTTGGTTCGATGCTCGGAGGAACGGGGAAGTTTCAGGTTCCCACAGATGGCGCCACTGATCTGACCTGATCAGAAGGGGATCATTAGCTGGCCACACACTGTTGGACTGCTGTCTGTTCACCGGTGATGAGAAGGAGGAGGGGGTGTACCTGCAAGGCACTCCGATGCCAAAGTAAGTATATGGGCAGAGTGATCACAAGTACAGAAAAGGGGTAAGAAGTGAATTACCTGACCCTTTTGTGGAAGAGGGTATTTATAGAGAGACCCCAGCGTTGGGCCAACGGTCACTTGCGTTGGGCTGGATTGCCAGGCCCAACCCAGGTGACTGTTAGGGCTTACATGGCGTAGTGAAGACCAGGACGTGGTCTTCGCCCTAGTCCAACTGTCCTGTGATCTCCGGAAAGTGGGTTTGACCTGCTCTTTCGGAGGTGGGCAGTTGGTCGGTGAGGTGTCCCCGCAGATGGGAGCACGTGGAGAACGTGCGAATGGCACGTTGATCTCCCCGCGGAGGGGAGCTCGTGAGGTTCTCCGAAGGTGTGTTGTTCTCCCTGCGGAGGGGAGCACACAATGGCGTGGGGGAGACATGTTGTCCTGCTCGTTGGCATGGGGATTCTGCCCGCGGAGGACTGTTCTGCCCAACAAAGGACAGTGGTTGGCGACGCATCCCCGCGGAGGGGAGCGCGCAGAGAACGTCTTGAGGCACGTTGTTCTGCTCGACGGGAGCATGCCCTGCCCGTCAAGGAGTCACGTGCTCGACCAACCTGCTTAAAGAAGATTGGGCCTTTATCGTGCATCATTGGGCTGGGCCGCGTGGTGAGGCCGAAGCCCAGGCCAGAACACATTTTTTTAATTTCCGGTATTTTTTACCATGAATTTTTTAATTTGTTATAAATGCAAAAATTTCTATAAATGCAAAAAATGCGAGAATTTTCAAAAATAAAGAAAATGTATATCAAAAATTGTACTACCTGAAATCTCGTTTAGTATGTTAATAAAAATGAAAATTTTAGAAGAAAAATAAATTTTGATCAGTAAATAAAAACAAAAACATATTTGAAATTTTGAAAATATGAAATTTCAGGTTTAAGTAGAGGTGGTAAGTTAAATTCCCCTTAAATTGACAGTTATACTAGAAACCAATCACTACTATAATGGAAATCATTGACCTTAGCCTCCCTATACGCAAATCAATTCCATGACATGGTTTTTGTACGATAAACGTCATGACATACAATGATACTAACACCCTCCTTAAAATTATTATATATTTCACGACCAAATTAAGTTCCTAACTCTCCTTGCCCACTTTCCTCTAAACATACTCCCAAACTGAAGAAAATGAATATGACCATCATTTTTAGAACAAAAATATCATAATCAAGCAAAGACATCCTAGACAACAGGAGGGGAAAAACCTCATTAATACGATTGATAACAGAGACATAAATACAAATTTAGCCTAACCCCAGTTTACAACAAGTTAATTCAGTCATGCAACCCTTCCTAGCTAAATGTGGTTTTATGCCGTTGTTCTCAAATGGAATAAAATTCTTAATGGTATTTGAATTCACAAACACCCTAGTTCCCTACATCCAAATGCATGTATGCAGTTCAAATTGCACTTGGTACAAACCGAACAAGAGAGGTGAACTTTTGGTCAAAACTCAGTTGTAGTAACGTGAACCAGTGTCATAGACACGTCCCCCGGGATAAGGACCTCTAGGTTCGAATCCTTGATCTCTTGCATTCCCAAGAAATCGAGATTGCTCTCTGTATGGATCAAAGTGATCAGCGGAATAGCCTCGTTGGGGCTCTCCAACGGAAGCTGGAGCATTAACATTGCTGTGAGCATGAGAGTCTCTGGGTGTCATGCCACTACTGGAGGAGTAAGGATCCCGAATGATCTGCTCATACTGCTGTTGTCTAGCGCGTGATTCCCTTTGAAGAAATTCAGCCCTGCGGTTTCCATGCCGAGTTCGGAGTGATTCCAGTTTTTCTTCATATTGAGTGTTGATTGCATTTATTTTCTGACAAGGCAAATAAAATGGAATTCGTTAAAGATAATGAAATATAGTTTTTGAGAGTGCATAAAAATATCCAGTTTCAACATGAATAACATTTATCTTGGTTAACCTCAATTTATACAATTATACAACATAGTGGCATGGATTTCATAAACACAAGGCAGGAAAGCCGCAAGTTGCAGAACTAGACTTGGTGCTGACATTTAACCAACTACGTATCAAGATCTGATAGAGATATATATATATTATAGTGTTATCAGTTAGCAGTGGCTAATATATTATATAGTGTTATCAGTTAGCAGTGGCTAAGTTCTGAGCCATTCAGTTATGCTGAGATGGCATAGTTTGTTATAGTTTTGTTATGCTGAGCTGGCATAGTTTGTTATAGTTTGTTATGCTGTATGCACTATATAAGTGACTCTCTTGTATTTCATTCATTTAAGAAATACAATATGAAATTCCTAACTACCCTTTCCAACAGATTCTGAGATTTTATCATGGTATCCAGAGCTTTTCTATCCTTTTCTTCGATCCAGATCTAAATCTCCTCCATGGCGTCGCCGTTTAACAGCGACGGTGCTTTTCCTTCTTCTCAGGTCAAGCTTTCGCGTCTGTTATGCTGTATGCACTATATAAGTGACTCTCTTGTATTTCATTCATTTAAGAAATACAATATGAAATTCCTAACTACCCTTTCCAACAGATTCTGAGATTTTATCATGGTATCCAGAGCTTTTCTATCCTTTTCTTCGATCCAGATCTAAATCTCCTCCATGGCGTCGCCGTTTAACAGCGACGGTGCTTTTCCTTCTTCTCAGGTCAAGCTTTCGCATCTGATCTCGGTTAAGCTTGACGATAAAAATTTTAAGCAGTGGAAGCAACAGATCGATGGTGTTATTCGTGGTCACAAGCTTCAACGCTTCGTCACTGTACCAGTTGTTCCACCACAGTTTCCGTCTAGCTCTGACGCTGCACTCACCGGAGCTAACTCAGCTTATCTAGATTGGGAGCAACAAGATGCACTTGGCTTCTTTCCACAATTTCTGATTCTCTTCTTCCCAAACTAGTGGATTGCCGTCACTCCTGGCAAGTCTGGACTGAAGTTCACCGGTACTTCGCCACTCTTCTCACCACCAAAGCACGTAAACTCCGGTCGGAATTGCGTCGCCTCACGAAAGGATCACTCACGGTTACGTTATTCATGGTCCTTGTTCGCGAAATCAGTGATTCGTTGATTTCTGTTGGAGATCCAGTTCCGCTGTGTAACCTAATTGAGATCGTGCTTGATGCACTACCGGAAGAGTATGATCCTATTGTTGCTGCGGTTAATAGTAAAGAAGATCTCAGCTCTCTGGATGAGCTTGAATCGAGTCTTCTTGCGCATGAATCGCGCCTTGAGAAGCACCGTAAAGTTGTTCTCCCTGAGCCGGCGACGGTAAATCTGACTCAAGCAGCACCGGTAGGTTCACCAAGTGTCTCTGAGCAGTCCGTCACTAGAACGGAGTCGTTTCCTCAGGGCAGTAGTCATATTACTGCGCGCGCTGTAAATCACGGTCAACATCCAAGCGGAGGTAGTTTTGGCCGTGGTAGTGGTCGTTTTGGTCTTGGTGGAGGTCGCTTTGGTAGATCTCAATGCCAGATTTGTCACAAAACTGAACATGATGGCTCCATCTGCTATCATCGTTACTCTGCAACTTCGTTTGCTCCTCAACGAGCTTCCTTCAATCCCTTTATGCTGCCTGCGCGTCCTGTGTATCAACCATCCTTTGGTTATGCTGCTCCTAGGCCACCACCTCAACGTCCTACTCAGCCTCAAGCATTCTTCACTGGTATGGATCCCTCATTCAGCAATCAATGGTGGTATCCGGATTCAGGTGCGTCTCACCATGTCACACCCGATGCTTCAAAGTTGTCTGACTCTATTTCGTTGCCAGGATCTGAGAACGTGTATATGGGAAATGGCCAAGGTCTGTCTATAAACTCTGTAGGCTCTATGTATTTTCCTTCACCTACTTGCCCTAACATGCCTCTCACCCTACACAATCTATTACTTGTGCCTAAAATCACCAAAAACCTTATCAGTGTCAGCAAGTTTGCACAGGACAATAATGTTTTCTTTGAGTTTCACCCTAAATTTTGTCTTGTAAAATCTCAGGATTCCTCTAAAATACTTCTGCGTGGCTGTGTTGGTGCTGATGGTCTATACAAGTTCTCCAATCCGTCTGCTCAAATGTCTCAGTTGTGTCCTAATCCCAGTTCCTCGGTACATTGTAATCTAAGTACATCATGTAATAGTGATCTTAGGACCATTACTCATAATGATAGTACTCACATTGTAGAAACCGGACTTGCTTTACTTGCACAGTCCACACTTCTCTTAAAATTCTGGGATCATGCCTTTGTAACTACTGCCTACTTGATCAATAGGCTCCCAAGTCCTACTCTTGAAAACTCCTCAACTTATTTCAATCTTCTCCATAAATATCCTGATTACACATGTCTAAGAGTCTTTGGCTGTGCTTGTTTCCCTTTCCTTCGTCCCTACAGTGCTCACAAACTTGATTATAGGTCTAAGGAATGCATTTTCCTAGGGTACTCCACTGTTCATAAGGGGTACAAATGTATGGCTGCTAATGGACATATCTATATTTCTAAGGATATCCTTTTTCATGAAACAAGATTTCCCTATTCCTTTTTATTTCCATCTTCTACTTCTCTTTCCACTACTTCCCCTACCTCTACTGCTTCTGCTTCTTCCTGGTTTATGGCAACAGCAGCTGCTCCTACTCCTAGTTCCCTCAACTCTTCTAGTCCTCCACCCTCTCTTCCTCCCACTCCCATGTCCTTAGTCAGCCCTACTGAGGATGTCGTCTCTTCTCCTCTCAGTCTCTTCCAAATTCTGTTGTTGTTAGCTCACCTAATACCCCTATAGCCTCATCTTCTCCTGGCCTCATTAGTTCTGACATAGCTGAACTAAGCACCATATCTCCCTCTTCCTCTACTGCAACATCTCCTGCCAGTCCTATTGTCATCCCTTCTAACCCCTCCCAGCCTTTTATTCACCCTCTCAATACTCATGTAATGCAAACAAGAGCCAAAAGTGGCATTACTCAACCAAGACTTAACCCTACCCTTTTACTTACACACGTGGAACCAACTTCTGTCAGACAGGCCTTGGCTGTCCCACACTGGTTTCAGGCAATGAAAGATGAATTTCAGGCTCTTTTGAAAAATCAGACAAGGACTCTGGTGTCTCCATCTGACTCAAGGAAGCCCATTGGTTACAAATGGGTATTTCGGGTCAAGGAAAATTCTGATGGCTCCATAAACAAATACAAAGCCAGGCTTGTGGCCAAAGGCTTTCACCAACAAGCTGGTAGTGATTTTCAGGAAACATTCTCTCCAGTTATCAAGCCTGTTACAGTCAGAACTGCTCTCACTCTTGCTGTTACTCATGGGTGGATCATTCAGCAAATAGATGTGAACAATACTTTTCTTAATTACAATCTTGAGGAGGAAATTTACATGCAACAACCCCCTGGGTTTGAAGCATCTGATAAGACTCTTGTGTGCAAGTTAAACAAAGTCATTTATGGTCTTAAGCAGACTCCTAGGGCCTGGTTTGACAAGCTCAAAGGAGCTTTACTGCAACATCAGTTTAAGGCCAGCAGGTGTGATCCCAGCCTGTTTTTCCTCCACACCAACAGCTTTCATATTGTTGTCTTGGTCTATGTTGATGATATTATCATCACTGGAAACTCTCCATCATTTATCACTTCCTTGATTAAGAGCTTAAATGTTGCCTTCTCTCTCAAAGAACTTGGAAAGTTGGGTTATTTCCTAGGAATTGAGGTCTTTCATCTTTCTAATGGTTCTTTGCTTCTCTCTCAAACCAAGTATGTGAGTGACTTGTTGGCTAAAGTCAATATGCTTAATGCAAATGGGATGCCTACTCCTATGATCTCTAGCAGCAAGCTCTCAAAGGTTGGCTCTGACAGTGTTTCTGATCCTGCTTTGTATCGGTCAGTTGTTGGGGCACTGCAGTATGCAACTTTGACAAGACCAGAAATCTCCTTTTCTGTAAACAAAGTGTGCCAGTTTTTATATAATCCTCTTGAGGAACACTGGAAGGCAGTCAAACGTATTTTGAGGTATCTAAGTGGCACTTTGTACCATGGTCTTCTTCTCCAACCCGCTCAAGCTCATCATCCTCTTTCCTTGCTTGGGTTTTGTGATGGTGATTGGGCTTCTGATCCGGATGACAGAAGGTCCACTTCTGGTGCTTGTGTTTTCCTTGGTCCCAATTTAATATCTTGGTGGTCTAAAAAGCAGCAGTTGGTTGCTAGGTCAAGTGCAGAGGCTGAATACAGGAGCATGGCACAACTTGCTACAGAGATATTGTGGGTTCAGTCCTTGCTAAGGGAGCTTCACTGCAACTTTCAAACTCCTAAAATTCTGTGTGACAACCTCAGCACGGTTACACTTGCTCACAATCCAATCCTCCACAATAGAACCAAACATATGGAGTTGGACATTTTCTTTGTCAGAGAGAAGGTGCTTAGCAAAAATCTTGTTGTAGCCCATGTTCCTGCTCATGATCAGTGGGCAGATGTGTTCACCAAGCCCTTATCAGCTGTGAAATTTCTACCTCTTCGTGACAGGTTAAGAGTGGTCAACAAATAAAACTTGATTGACACACCCTCAACTTCTAAGGGGGAATGATAGAGATATATATGATATAGTGTTATCAGTTAGCAGTGGCTAAGTTCTGAGCCATTCAGTTATGCTGAGCTGGCATAGTTTGTTATAGTTTTGTTATGCTGAGCTGACATAGTTTGTTATAGTCTGTTATGTTGTATGCACTATATAAGTGACTCTCTTGTATTTCATTCATTTAAGAAATACAATATGAAATTCCTAACTACCCTTTCCAACAGATTCTGAGATTTTATCAAGATCAGACAAAATTGGAAGTCAGTTTATAGTTTAAAGTTCAAATGATG